AAGGTGACTTAAGTACAAAATTCTTTCATCAAAAGGTTGAGTCAAAAAAGAAGAAAAACACTATAAGAGTTATTAAGAGTGAAAATGGGCAGTCCTTTGAGACATTTGATGGCATGGCTGCTGAACTGCTTGATTTCTACAGTAAGCTGATTGGTGCTGCTGACCCTAAAGTTATGAGTTATTCTTCTGAATGGCTTAAGGACCTCCTAGGCCATTCATTGTCTGCTGGTGCTGTGAGGGTCCTTGATGGAGAGATCTCAGATAGAGAAGTCAAGGAAGCCTTGTTTAGGTAAGGGAAAGATAAAAGTCCAGGGCCAGATGGTTATACCTCCTGGTTCTTCAAGGTTGCTTAGGAAATTGTGCACAAAGACTTCCTCAATGTCGTGAGGTATTTTTTCTAGTCCTCCTACCTTCTTCCTGCATTCAATACCACCACCTTAGTCTTAGTGCCTAAGTCTTTAAATGCTTGTATGGCCAAAGAATTTTGACATATTTCATGTTGTTCTGTTGTTTATAAAACTATAACTAGGATATTGGTCACTAGGCTTGCCCAATTCTTTCCCAATATAATTTCTGCTAGCCAATCTGCTTTTGTTAAGGGCAGAAGCATCACAAATAACACTTTACTGGCACATGAAATTGTTAGGGGTTACTCTAGAAAGAACCTCTCACCTAGGTGCGCAATTAAAGTGGACTTGCAGAAAGCTTTTGATTCAGTTAGCTGGGATTTTTTACTTAATATTATGGGAGCTATGGGGCTGCCTGCTAGATTTTGTAACTGGATCAAAATCGGTTTTACTACCCCCAGGTATTCAATTGCTCTAAATGGAAGCCTTGTTGGGTTTTTTTAGAGGTGCTAGGGGTGTTAGACAATGGGACCCTTTGTCTCCTTATCTGTTTGTGATAGTCATGAATGTGTTATCCAATTTGCTTGATGTTGCAGCCAAAAATGGAATTTTTCAGATTTCATCATAGATATAAGAGGATTTCTCTTAGACATCTCTGTTTTGCTGATGATTTGATGTTGTTTTGCCATGGCTCATTGGACTCGGTGCTGGGAGTGACAAGTATTTTAGATGTGTTTTATGAATTATCAGGGCTCAAACTTAATGTTATGAAGATTGAGCTTTTTACTTGCGGCGTTAATGGGGATGCCATAGCACGTATTCAAAGGATAACTGGTTTTAGGGTTGGCTAGCTCCCTGCCAGGTACTTGGGGTGCCCCTAGTGACCCGAAAACTCTCAAAGAAAGACTGTGCAACTTTTCTTGGAATGATAAAGGACAAATTGAGGCATTGGTCTAGTAGGAAGCTAAGCTTTGGTGGTAGATTGCAGCTTATAAAAGCAGCTTTGTTCAGCATTTTTAATTACTGGAGCAGACAACTTATTTTGCCTAAGGGAATCATCCAGGAAATAGAAAAGACTTGTATGAGATTCTTTTGAAAGCGAAACGATTCCTCTGCTCGAGGTGCAAGGGCTAGTTGGAACCATATATGCACTACTAAGTCTGAGGGTGGCTTGGGACTGAAAAGTCTGGTTGAGTAGAATAAAATCTGTTGTCTAATGCTGATTAAAAACATTTTAGCAGACGCTGGATCTCTGTGGATTTCCTGGATTAAGGCATACTGTCTTAAGGTTGAGGACTACTGGAACATTATTAACAAACCTCACTTTAGCTGGATACTCAGGAAACTGATTAAGATGCGCGAGGATGCAAGAGGGTTATTTATTGCTTCTGTCTATTGGTTACAAGTAAATGGGAGCTGGATTTGGGATAAGATTCGGGAAAAGAGAAACAAAGTGGTCTGGCACCGTATCATCTGGTTCCCTGCCCATATTCCCAAGTTCTCGTTGAATACGTGGATGGATATCCTTGATTGGTTGCCTACAAATGAGAGGTTGAGCAGATTTGACATGGTGACTAATGCAAATTGTGTGTTTTGTGATGCTGAGCAGGAATCCAGAACTCATATTTTCTTGGACTGCTCTTTCTCGAAGGAGGACTAGAACTCTGTTTTGTAGCTCTGTGGGCTGCAAAAGCGTTGGCTGAACTGGGATGATTTGCTCTGCTGGTTAGAAATTTAAAAGGTAGATCCCTGCTTGTTCAGATCATCAAACTTGCTTGGACTGGTTTCATTTACTACATATGGGAGGAGCGCAATCGCAGATTTTTTAGAAGTGTGATGCGTTCGACCGATTCTATTATCAATATTATTAAAAAGCTTTTTAGAATATGGATAATGTGAATAGGCAGTTGTATAATGACTGGGGCCTGATTTAACTGTTCAATTGTACTCTGTAACAGCGTGCTGCTTCTTTGGATGAATATAAAATTGATTATCCAAAAAAAATGTAGAATGCAACCAATATATAATTATTAAGTATTTAGGTTCAAGTCTCATCGTATATAATTATCATATTTGTGTTTTACTATGTATGAGCCATATTCATATTTATTCACATTTATGTTATGATATATTTTAATTTTTTGTTCACATATTTTTTATTATAATGATTAATTATAATTATAATTATAATTTTAATAATATATTTATAATAATTATAATTCCAATTGTACATTATTCTAATTATATGATTGTGTTTATCATAATTATAAATTCATTTTTATATTATTTATTGATTATGAGTATAGAGTACGAATATATCAATCCTAAAAGCCGTCTTAATTCTAAAAAATATTCAAATATTAAAATTATTTTATATTTTATAAATAAATTTAAGTGATAACTTGTTATTTGTTAAGGTATTGAACATTAGTTAATTGGCCCATATGAGGGGGAGATAGTGCAATAAGATTGGCATCTGTCTCACGTGGCGGCAGCCAATTGTTACCAAGTGCCAACCATTTTACTCGAAATCAGCCGCGTGGTTACGTGACGCGTAGCAGTAGACTTCCTTTTTCATCCTTATGCTCCGCCGATATGGCGGTCACCAAACCCCACATGCCTGCCTCATTTCCTGCCATGTCTACCTGTTGTGACCCTACCTTGTCTCCTCCGTCCACTACATTCAAATTAAAATATTTTTCTTACGTAATAAAATAAATTTCATTTCATTTATATAAAACTTATTACTGCCTTCCTCTTATAATTTTTGACTATTGATGAAGCATATAATTTTAGAAGATAAATTTAATCATATACTAAGTTATATAAAATAAACACTAAATTATCCAATCTCACAAATTTACTAGTTTTTTTTTAATTTTCTCTCATTGCTAAGTCTTTATCTCTTTTTCTTTTTGTCTTTTATGATTAACAACGGTATCAATTTTAATATTAGTTGCTGATTGTCGGTATTTTTTATTGTCATTTTGTTTTCTCTTATTTTTTATTTTCAATAAGTTTGCTTATATGATATGTTTTCCTCTGCTTGTATGACATGTTTTCTTCTGCCTTTTGGTACGTGTTTCGGTTGTTTAGTCGTTGTTTTCTTTTATCTTTTTTTAAGCGTTGATTATACATCGTTACGACTGATCAAGATGGCGTTCATCTGTTATATTTTTTTTATCTTCCTTGCTCTAGACCATTGGATTGGATTTGATACCCGTTATGCGTTCGTTGATAGCTTTTCACGTCGCTCGAGTCTAATTTACGAATTGTCGGCGATCTTATAGTAGCTTGACCCCTTTTTGTGGTTCATTGGCGACACAATAAAATTTGTTTGTATCTATCTTTGTTCGAGTTTCTTGTTTAGATTTTAATATTTCTTTGTATGGTCTTTATGTGATCTTAAGTTTTAATTTTGTTTCAATATTATATAAAATTGTCATAATTATGTGTTTAATTTATTATTATAATTGTAAATATTTATTGTAATTTAAGTTAATTCCTATTTTAAATGAAATTAGTGATTTTTTTCAACAAAAAAAAGTATCTTTAAAAATAAGATAAATAATGATAAAAGTTATAAGTGTTATTATTTATGAATTTTTGTAATATAACATTTTGAATGAATAATTTTAAAAATCAAAATAAATAATTTAATGAGACGAAGATAATATATTTTATTATAGTCAAATTAAGTTGATCAACTTTCTAAATGAAATTGAGACTAAAAGCCATACAAATTAGGGAACAACTAATCGACTATAGGGAGGGCCATGAAGGTCATAAGGGGATCAAGGTAAATTTTTAAAGGAGCCTGATCTACGGATGGATTAAGGAAACTAGTGGGAGGATCACTCTTAAAATGTTTTAATTTTTTATATAATTTAATTTTTTTTGTGTTTTTATTAATAATGTACTTTTGTCCTTAAATTTTTATAATTTTATTTCTTTAAAATTATTAATTTGTTTATCTTAATTTAAAATTATGTATCTGTTCCTAGTTTCAACGGAACATAAAATTCAACTATTCTACCAAGCTTTGTCATTTGATCAGCTGTCATGTTAATCTCTCTTGAAATAAACTTCGATCGCAAATACTTACAATTGCTCTAATTAATGCAAGGGACTTGACAGGGACAACATCAGAACATGATATTAGAGAGCAAGGGTTAAATTAATTAATCTTAAAATAAAATGGTAAGGATTACATTGATTAATTTACAAGGGTCTAAAGAATTATTATACCTCAAGAATTTGGGCCAAAATCTTTCACAATTTATACATAGCTCCGGCGGGTTATTGAGCAGGTTCCCCGTGCCTGTATTAAACAATTCAACAATCGAAGTGAAATTAAAAACTGTAAAAAACATTAAAAAATCAATGTGAAAATTTAAATTTAAATTAATTTTTATTTTTGTATTTGTATTACTTTTTTAAAAATATTTTAAATCAATAATTTTTAGTAGAGTAAAATGACTAAAAGCAAATGAGACATTTTTCCATAAAAGAGTTTATATTTTTATACAGCTTATCCGTATAAGTGCGTGAGCCATCAGCCTCCTTACAAGCTCCCACATGGACGGGGAATATGACGTGGCACTTTCAATTCCGAAGTCGCTGCCTTCCCTATTTAAACCCCATGTAAAGCTTGATTCTTACCAAGCTCTCAACTCAGCTCACAGTCTCTCCCTCTTCCTTCAAATCACTTTTTCCTCTATAAATCCAGCGCTTTAATCCTTGTCTTCCAATTGTTCGATAAAACTCCCCTTTCGAATATGGCTGTTGATTCCGCTCATTCGTCTCCGCTTGGTCCGCCGGCAGGCGAGAAAGACGCAAAGGCTTTGCAGTTCATCGAGGAAATGACTCGAAACGCGGAATCCGTTCAAGAAAGAGTCCTTGCGGAAATCTTGACTCGAAACTCACAGACCGAGTATCTAACCAGGTTCAAACTCAATGATGCAACGGACCGTGAAACTTTCAAGTCCAAAGTTCCAGTCATTACTTACGAAGACCTTCAGCCTGTAATCCAGCGTATAGCTAATGGTGACCGCTCTCCGATTTTATCTGCCCACCCCATCTCTGAATTTCTCACCAGGTTCGTATAAAAATAAAGAAGTCAAAATTTTGGATTTGGCCCCTCTACCATGTTTAACTTTAATTTAGTATAATTTAGCACTTTTGTTTATCTTGATTGAACTTTTTCATCAAATCATATTTCTTCATTGGAATTAAAAAACAATTTCAAACTATTTTTTAGAAAAAAATCTCATTACTAATTTAATGTTGTAGAAAAAAATAGTACTATATTACATCAAAATAGTATAAAAAAAATAAAGTATATCAAATTAAATAATACTCCCTAAACTCCAAATTTGAATATAGTATAAAAGTCAACGATTAAAGAAGAGCCGGTGATGTTTGAGTTTCCTGGAAAAATAATTGATGCTGATGTTTGAGTTTCCTGGAAAATTGTGCAGCTCCGGGACATCAGCCGGTGAAAGGAAACTTATGCCAACGATTAAAGAAGAGCTAGATCGCCGTCAGTTGCTCTACAGCTTGCTCATGCCAGTGATGAATATGTAAGTATTTTGAAAAAATGTTAAATTTTAATTTTGGTCCCTCTATCATACTAAAATTCGAGAAATCTTTATACTTCGAAGTGGTATAATCTAGTTATTTACTGGTCAGTTTAAATTGTTAATATGGTTAATTATTTTAAGCTCTTCACTTTCAGGAACATAGTTAATTTAAGTATATGGAGTAATCTCAAATTTGAGTATAGTGTAGGGAGCAAATCAATAATTTGATAAAAAGATTGATGACCTATAAACATTGGAATTGGCCTGTGTTCATTGATTAATGAAACTCGGTTTCCATGAAACAGTTATGTGCCGGGCTTGGACAAAGGCAAGGGACTCTATTTCTTGTTTGTGAAATCAGAAACAAGGACCTCAGGTGGTCTCTTGGCTCGCCCTGTCCTCACCAGCTACTACAAGAGCGATCATTTCAAGACTCGGCCGTTCGATCCTTACAACGTTTACACCAGCCCCAACGAAGCCATCCTCTGCCCGGACTCGTTCCAGAGCATGTACACCCAGATGCTCTGTGGTCTACTCGAGCGCCATCAAGTTCTCCGTCTCGGTGCGGTGTTTGCTTCCGGACTCCTCCGTGCGATTAGGTTCCTTCAACTCAACTGGCGACAACTCGCACAGGATATCGAAACTGGTTCCTTGAATCCGAACATCACCGACTCTTCATTAAGTGGATGCATTGCTAAGATCCTTAAACCCAACCCCGAACTCGCTGAGTTCGTTCGACATGAATGTTTGAAGGATAGCTGGGAGGGGATTGTTACAAGAATTTGGCCCAACACGAAATATCTTGATGTTATTGTGACTGGTGCTATGGCGCAGTATATTCCAACCCTTGATTATTACAGTGGTGGGTTACCTTTAGCTTGCACCATGTATGCTTCATCGGAATGTTACTTTGGTTTGAACCTTAACCCGATGTGTAAACCATCGGAAGTTTCATACACCATAATGCCAAACATGGCGTACTTCGAGTTCTTACCCCATGAGCCTGACTCAGCCGGTGTCAGTCTCACTCGTGACTCACCTCCTAAACTTGTTGATCTTGTGGGTGTTGAAATCGGGAAAGAATACGAGCTCGTGATCACGACCTATGCAGGGTTATGCAGGTACCGGGTGGGAGATATTCTCCGCGTCACCGGGTTCCACAACTCCGCCCCGCAGTTCCATTTCGTGAGGAGAAAAAATGTGTTGCTCAGCATTGACGCAGACAAAACCGACGAGGCCGAGTTACAAACGGCGGTCGAAAATGCCTCTCGACTCCTCCGTGAGTTCAACACCAGCGTTGTCGAATACACGAGTTATGCCTACACGAAAACGATCCCCGGTCACTATGTGGTGTACTGGGAGTTGTTGGTGAAAGACTCGGCTAACACGCCCAATAACGAGGTCCTGCAACAATGTTGTTTAGCAATGGAGGTGTCACTCAACTCGGTGTACCGACAATGCCGTGTCGCGGATAACTCAATCGGCCCACTTGAAATCCGTATGGTGAAAAATGGCACATTTGAAGAGTTAATGGATTATGCAATATCAAGAGGGGCATCCATTAATCAGTACAAGGTTCCAAGGTGTGTTAGTTTCACTCCAATCATGGAGTTGCTCGATTCTAGGGTGATATCGGCGCATTTCAGCCCAGCTTTGCCGCATTGGACCCCAGAAAGGAGAAGATGATCTCTTATATTTGTAGATTCTCTTTGGTTCCATTTTTTTAAAAGATTTAATGATTAAATCTAAAATTTAAGCATATTAAAAGGATTAGATCATAATTTGAGCTAATTATATCTAGCATGAAAGTGGCTGGAGAAAAGTGAATACTGATGTGATGCAGACATTTCCAATGTTCAATCTAAGTATTGATCCCCAGATAAATAAAAAGCGTGGTTTAGCAGTTAAAACATCAGATCCCAAAAGGGAAAAAAAGGTCATAACAAATTGATCAATCCATCTAATATTCAGCTTGGCAAAGAATTTTGAGGGTCTACTGCTTCAAATCTGATTGACAGTTTCGATGCTTGTTGTTTCCACTGTTCAGGGAGCTGCTTTAGGGACGCATTAACTGAGCTTGCTGGGTATGTAGCTTTCAATCCATGGCAGACCACAAATTGTATGTTCCAACACCTAAGCATTGCTAGCAATTGGGACCAACCTCGCTCCTTTTGGTAGCCTATCTTGAAATAGGCCAACCAAGCTTCACGCAGAGTAGACTATTTGATTAGCTGTCCAAACCCGAAGATATTTAAGATGGTTTAAACAAAACCATTAATTCATAAGATTATATTTGATTAAGAAAAAGTTAACTCCTTTTACCACATGGGTCAAGTTTAAATGGGCAATAGTAATTGTAGATAATTTATTCGACATAAAATCATAACTGATAATTAGATCGTTGTTGGTATTAAAATTTTTTTTTCTCCATAAGGAGGTAGAAGAGAGATGAATGAAAAGACATTTCAAATCTTCTCTTGATCTTGGACAATAGGTTTTATAATAACTATTAGTACTAATGTTAGGGTAAAGTCATTATAGTAAATGACTATGATCATTAATTCTGATAGATCACACAAATACATCGAAATTAATGTAAAAAAATAAGGTCTTTCTAAAAATGATAATAAATGTTTTTAAATTATCAGAAAAACCTGAGGTGCGAAAGAGATGACATTTATGTGAAAATGTTCTTCCTTAATTTTCTGTACGAAGTACAATATATTAATACTTTGATTTTAATTATTTCAAAATACTCCAATATAGATATAGATTAAATTTTAATACTATTGACATACTTATAAGGGTAAACTACACACTTAATACTTAAATTATTAGTTTTGTTCTGTTTTGGTACTCTATTTTTAGTTTTTCTTTTATTTTCAAAATTATATTTACCATTTAGTTTAAGTTTCATTCTGATATCCCATAGTTAAAATTTTAACAGTGATGTTGACGTGTTACCATAAAATAATGTCACCTTGTCATTGAAAATAAAAAAATGTCACATTAATAGTTATGCTAATTTTTAACTACAGATTATTAAATTGAAATCTAAACTAAACGTTAGGTGTAGTTTTAAAAAGATACTAAACTTGTAATTTTCCCTAATTATAATTGTAATGTTTAAAAAGATGTGAGATTCAAATCCATATTATTTTTAGATTTAAAAATTTGAAAGAAATTTGAATATTGTATTATATAAGTGGACCAAACAAATTCGAATTATTTATTTCAAAGAATTTGAATAGATTTTCATATTTTGGTTTTGGCTAGAACCACGAGTATGATATTAACGTCATCAAAAACTAAACCAAAAAAAATGTTATTTATTTGAATAAAATATATTTGATTTCTATACTATTTATAATATTTTTGACTGAATTTATATAAGAATAGTTAGCATAAGCTCAATCAGAGATTAATTGAAGTAAATAAATAATTTTATTTTTATAAAATACTAGAGAACATCATTTTCTATTAGTTTTAAGCAGTTTTTCCAATAGTCACTTCATTAACTTGAATAATTTCTTCTTATATCATTTTCTATTTTCATCCACAGACCTAATATTATAATTCTCTTAATTTTTTTAGAAATAAATAAAAAAGATAAATTAAATATGTAGTAAATCATTATATGACAACGAATTTACTATTTTCTCTAAAAAATATATAAAAAAGTCGACAATTTGAAAGGAAACAAAATATCTTTTATTACATTAAAAAAAAACAAGAGAAATAAGCCACGTCATCGGTGCAACGGTAGCTATGTTGACACCGTGTTCCATTGCCTCAAACGTTACCTTCCAATTTTCCATCCCCTACATAACTGGTGGCTACCGTCGCTGCTCGAGGGAAAAAGGAAAGAAGAAAAGAAATCCTAATTGGCGGAGAAAGAAAGAAGGAGAGGAAGAGCCGCGGTGGCGGAACTTAATCTACATGGCCGCCCCTCTTTCCTCTTATTCCCTTCCCCCTTTCTTCTCTTCCAAAACACGTTCAATCCCAAAGCTCAATCTCCTCTTTCCTCCTCCTCTTTCCATATCTCCTTCTCGCTCGCTCTCCATCATCAACCCTAAAAAATACAGCAGAACCCATCTCATCGCCTTCTCTTCCTCTAATCCCGACGCCTCTGCTTTCCATGATGGGTTCGATCACAATCCGGCCCCATCTGAGGTAAGCTTTTCCGGAAATAAGTTTCAGTTTTGGTAAGTTACCCTTTTTATGGATTGCTGATTTTGGGTTGGGTTTGGTCATTTTAGGTTTATAATTTAGAAATTCACTGAAATTTTAGCAATTTTTTTCTTTCAGAAATCCGTCCTTGCCAATCTCATACATGAGATAGAACCATTGGACGTTAGCCTTATCCAAAAAGATGTCTCCCCTACAACTTTGGATGCCATGAAAAGGACTATTTCTGGCATGTTGGGTTTACTCCCTTCTGATAGGTTTCAAGTCTTTATCGAGGCATTATGGGAACCTCTCTCCAAATTGTTGGTTTCTTCTATGATGACTGGGTATATTCATTTTCTACGTGATGTGCTCCATTATATTGAATGCTTCTATGCTCCAGTATAACTGTCTACTTATTGTGATGGTTTCAATGCTTGTTTGCTATATTACTACGATCCAGGTGTAAGTTGTGGGGTGAGGGTATGTGTTGGAAATTGATATATTCAACTTCTTAATAAGTTTTTCACTGTATTTGGAGGGTCCATGGGATCACATACCGTGTACTTTAAGAAAAGCTAAGAACCGGAACAACATAGCTTGGTAAACATGCCTTTGCAGCTCTGCTTATTCTCTGCATCATGTCCTCATTCAACCCTCTGTTAGGCAGTAAAAAAGGTTGATATCATGTTAATGTTTGTTCTGGTGAAAAGCCAAATCATGAACTCATATACATCATGCCAAACGTGGCTCATTGTATATGTGTTTGCCACCACTAGGACTTAAAACCTGAATCTTGATGGTGTCTTATCTCCTCCATGCATATATTTCTCATTTACGTATATGTTTTCTTAATATGGTACGATCACTTTAGCATTTATCTTTAATAGTTGTACCATGAGACATTCAGAGTACCATTTATCTTCAATAGTGTCTGTCAGATATTGGGACTATCATGAATAATAGCACTTCTTGAACTGCAGTTATACATTGAGGAATGCTGAATATAGGCTTTGCCTTGAGCGGAACCTTGGTTGTGAAGGAGATTTGGAAAATCAAACTTCAGAAAAATCGACTTTCGATTTACAAGACATGTTGCTAGACAGTACAAAAATAAATGAACTTTTTGAGAAAAATGGTTTGTCATCTGAATCTGAAGAAACCAGTAAAGAGCAATTAGAAGATATAGACTTTCAAGGCCTGGGTGAAATGCCCTTGGAAGCTCGTAAATACATTCTTCATTTGAAGTCTCGTCTAACTGCAGTGAAAAAGGTATGCTACATCATATTGAGGAGGCTTTCATGGTTTGTTTTTCCCTTTACACTATGAACTGTTTACTTGATGCATGGCCCAGATAAAGTTAACTTTATTCAACGTGCCATTATCTCCTATTGAATGTGCTCTGAACAAATGAGAACCCCTATATGACCCTTTTTATTTCCTCTTTTGGCTGATATGAGATCCATATTTCTGAAACTTGGTAGACTTTTTCCCCTGATTACCTTTGTTTTCATTTGGGATAGGATATTAGGCCAACTTATTATGTCGTGCATTCCAAATTGTTGGTAATAGCCTTGTGAAAGAATTTAGATACGCTGGAAAACATATAGTTGTACTTATATGTCAGACATGCTGACCTTATTATTAACTGAATAGATCAGTAAATGGAAAAATACGAGAGAACATAAAACTAAATTTAAGATGCTACATGTGTCTTTCTTCATAATTTTATATTTGGAGAGTTTACCCCCATGGAAGTATTGGTGAGTTGTGAATTTCTGGCTTTTCAAAATCTACATTGCATGAGATGTATGTTCCATGGTTTATCCAGTTCAGATGTTAACAATACCTTCATACATTCATAATATATAAGAAAATTGAGCCTTCTCAAATTGCTGAATATCTCATTTTCTTTTCCATCTATCTCTGTACATACCGTTTATTTTTGCTTTACAATTTCTTCAAATCCTTACCTTCAAATTGGTGGGATACATGCTCATATTTCTGATTATTGCTCTATTGAAGGAACTCCATGAAGTAAAGAGGAAGAATGCTGCTCTGCAGATGCAACAGTTTGTTGGCGAAGAAAAGAATGATTTACTTGACTACTTGAGATCACTAGAACCAGAAAAGGTTTCCCATGGTCTCAAAATCTTCTAAAGCAAATTGATTTGCTAATTTCTCATAAACATGATGCTATGAAAGTAATATCTCCAAATGAAAATACAATTTTTTTTTACTTTTATATCCATTAATTTGAAGGGAAGATTGAACTACTTAAAAAGAGCTTTTGAGATGAGGATTAGCTTTTGGCTTGAAGGGATACCTCTGCTTATTGCAAATTGCTAGATGCAACAATTTTACTCTGATATTTATGTACCTCGAGTGCTTAATCTGTCATACAAAACTGTTCCTAGCAGTGAATTTCTGTAAAATTTTATGTTGTCATGGCTAATAAAATTCAAACATAATTTCAGGTAGCTGAGCTTTCTGAACCAACGTCTCCTGAAGTGAAAGACACAATCCACTCTGTGGTCCACGGTCTCCTTGCCACTCTTTCTCCAAGGATGCATTCCAAGATTCCTCCTTCGTCAGAGAACACTGCAACTGGAACTGTAAATATTGGGAGTGAAGATTGTGCCGAACTTGTTGAGAATACTTCACTTCAGTTCCAGCCCTTCATTTCATTAACGCGGGACTATCTTGCTCGTCTACTCTTCTGGTTAGTCCAGCTCTACTGATGCTTTCCGTCTATCTCTTCTGTCTCTCGTTTCTTCTAACACACTTTCGACCTAACAAGTTTATGTATAAACTTTTAGTTTGAAAGGAAAATCTAGTTCTTTCAAAAGTTTAACAGGAAATGTGCATTCCTCTGCACTAATTGATCATTATAGCGGAATCCTGTTTACACTTCAACTTAATGTGTTTGATCAGTATACTTTGGGAGAATGAAAGATCATCTCGAGATGTGAAAGGTTTTCTTCATGTTTGAACCTTGAATAAGCTTCAGTCACTCTTAACATTCAACAAAATTTTGTCTGAACCCATTTTATTATTATTATTATTCAGATATGGTAATATAGCTAGCTCTGATATTCTCATATCTTTCCTGAAGGTGTATGCTTTTGGGACACTACCTTAGAGGCCTCGAGTATCGGTTAGAGCTAATGGAACTTTTAATGTTGACAAGCAGTCCCGACAATAACGGCTGTGGTGATGAGCAGGTTGTTTAGAGTTGCTGTGATTCCAGTGCTTCCATCTGCATATATAAAGTTGTTGGTATTGCTTATTAATATCATTAGTTGCATTAATAAAGGTTGCTTGAACCATGTTGAAGGAGATCGTCTCTGTAATGTTGATTTTATTATAATAATATTGATGATCTTAACAAGTCATTGGTAAGTTTGGTTAACAAACTATTGTTTCAGTGGTTGAAGTTAGGTTTAAAAATTTGACACCAAATTCAAAGTTTAAATTTTGGATTAACTCAAGATTTGAATCCCTTGAAAACATTAGAGATTCATATCTCTTGTCTCTTTGGCAACAAGCATAATTTGATTTCAGCCGTAACTGGGCTTGTCAATTACAGTTTGGGCTCAGCCAGGATCATGGGTCTTTTTCTTTTACCCAATTTAAATGTTTTCCAAGACCATAATAATGGAGATTCTTTTTCTTTTATGATTCAATTAACGTATAAACCAACCTATCGAGTGTTTCTGTATGGTAAAAGGTATTCTTTTTGGATAATTTTGTATTTGAATAGTTATATCTATAGTAGAGATAGACTCACTCATAGTTATATCTACAGTAGGGATAGACTCACGTTATAGGTGAGAGGGGCGATGACTCTCTAAATTTTGATGGTCTAATTATATTTTAAGTCACTGATAGTTTTGAAATCATTGCAATTAGGTCATATCTTTCTCAAAAAAAATTTTGGTATAATTATCTTTTAGGACAATGTCAGTTTTAAAATTAATGGAATTAAGCCTCGACCCTAAATTTTCTAGTTTAATTACTTTGTAAGACCTTTGAATTTTAAAATTTGTGAAATTAAACCTTTAATATCTTAATTTTTTGATTTAATTACTTTTTGGGATCTTGTTTGTTTTAAAGTTAAATAATTTTCTCTCCTCATAATTCAATCCTAGTTCCGTCCTTGGTCTACAAGATATATGTGTGTTGTTGATAGATTAAGAAAATTTTAAACATATAATATTTTGTAATTATCTTATACTATGAGAATAAAAACAAAACAAAGAAAATGTAAGTAGAGGGTTTTTGTTGTTTGTATGTGGTTAGACAATAGCATGGGGATTGCCAGAGTGTGGTTGAATAATAAATTAGCAAGTGGGGTTTAAAGCATGAGATTGATATTTATGGGGTACTTGATTTGACGAAAGACCCTCTCTTAGTCAATGCTTACGAGCTAAGGAATATACTCCGTGCTACCCAAATGAGGTCTAATGTGCTTTGTTAGAGTGATCTTTCATAATTCATGGATTGATGATAGTGAAAAACTATCACTAAACTTACGCTTATCTTTGCTCCATTTAATTTGTCAAGTTTTAATAGTTTTTTAATAATATAAAAATAATTATAAGATATTATATATTTAAAATTTCATAATTTATTGATAACAAATACATACTCTACAAATATAACTGATTGAATCTAAAATCTCAAAAAAAAAATCGTAATAATTTTTAACAGAACAATAAATGTGAATTAAACTTCGTTTTAATTTTAGTTGATTTAGATTTCTCCACCTCGTTTAAATTGTCCAGTCGTAACATAAATAATGTTGTACTGTATATATAGGAGTGGGACATGAAGAATAGAAAACAAAGGTATTAGAAAATTATTTTAAGATCCAATGTTGAATGGCTTTCAAACTTCACCATAATGGACAAGCTTCTTCGGTCCTTGTTTACCTTTACATCTTTACATATTTCACACCTTCTTTTCCTAAATTAAAGGTCTATAATAAAACTCTGCTTTCATATTTTTAATCTTTTTTTCTTTTTTAATATAATCATTTGGATCTAATTTAATAGTTAATTAATCTAGATCACAGTATATATAAATTTATTATAGAAATAATTTTTAATTCAATCTATTTTGTTTAAACTATTAAAAATAGGTATATATATCAAATATCTAAATTTATATTATATTTATTGTTAACATTTCATTTTATATTATTATATAAATTCTAAATAATCGTATATGTTAAATTTCTTAAATATCTGGTTTTCACAAATCTATCTAAAATGTAAAACACGTCATAGACAATCTTATTTGTAGTCTAGATAAAATAAATTGAAATATAAATATATATATTTATAAATATATTTATAAAAATATCAAATGCTACTCAGTGTTCTTTTCTATGCGGATCATGATGAATATAAATCGGATTAAGTTGAGTATTTATCTATCTAAATTTGATTTGAGTATTTTTTTTTGTTTTTTAATTTTATTTAAATTTAAAATCTTTTCTTCTAACTCAAAATTTACTCTGATTTTTATGTAAAACACACACCTTGTGACATATCCCAATATATATATAAATTCTATTTTATTAAGTTAAATAAAGATTTAATTAAAAAATATATAGATAGAGATATTATTAAAATTATATTACAATATATAGAGGATAACTATATTATTTTTTTTGAGTTAGAGATTTTTCATCTTAAACCCAATATTATTCTTTAAAGAAATTAACTCAATATAAGCTCAATTTTCTTGAAAATTAATCGTATAGAATAAAATCAGATCGTTCATATCCAAATCTCATGTCTATCCCGACTCATTACTCTCTGTTTTTATTTATTTATCTATCTATCAAAATGTAATGGTAAAAAAATGGAATAAGAAGTGCACGTGGTTTTGGGGAGTAAAGAAGAAGGCTGTTGCGTCGGGGATCCGTCAAAAGAAACGAGCAGAGAATCAACACTACCATCGCCTTTTGTTGGGTGTACATTTACATTTTACCATGTCTTGTGTTTTTGTTTTTTGTAATATAAAACAATTTATAAATGTTTTCTTACAAAATCTAATATTCTTTTGATAATAAGTAAATAATACGTCTTTAAAATGCTAAATTCACAAAAATAGTTACTATTATTTTTATTATCTCATCAATATCACGTCACATGAAGTAAAGTTCATTTGCTAACTCACCAGAGAACTAAACCAAAGAAAAGGAGGAAACATATGGAAGAATCTCTTTTAATTATTGAATTTTTTTGCCAGTAAATTAAGATTAAGAATGACTTTGTCTAGAAGGAACAACGATTTTGTCCACTGCTTTTGCGTAATTTTTTTTTACAAATAAAGTTGAGGAGGCAGTAGTAGTAGTTCAAATTATGCGATTCACTGGTAAAATCTATTATAGCTCATAAGAAACAATTATTATTCTGATCGAAAAGAAAAGAAAACAATTATTATAGCAATAATAATGACTGTTTAAATCTGTATTTTATCATAATGAAACCTACTACTATTTAGCTCATTCAAAAGTCGATACGTTTCCCACTGCTATCTCCATGAACGAAGCTTATCACTCTCTTTAGTCTGTTATCTTCTGTGAATTTCAGTCCAACCCTTCTTCTTTTCTCTTGTTGAAGACGAAGGGAACTTCTTTTTTTCAAGAGAAAAAACCCGGCCTTTAATGGAGAAAAAGCAAGGTTTTTTCTTGACTCTCAAAGAGGAAGTAGTTCGCGGACTTTCGCCTTCCCGCTCTCGGACCAACAGAAGTCCCGGAAGAGCGCGTTCGCCCATCGCCGTTCTATTACGGAGAAAGAAAAGCACCCCCAACAACTACGGAGGCGCGCAACCGGTCGGGGAAGCTTTAGCACCGCTCATGGAAGGTCCCGAGCCGGACGGAGGGGAAGCTGGGGTTTCGAAGCGGCTTGGGTCAGGGCTAGGACAATGGGTTATTGGACAGTTATCGAGGACTCCACCGGTTGCTTCGATGAGTTACAGAAGGTCTGATCTAAGGCTGTTGCTCGGGGTAATGGGTGCGCCTTTGGCTCCGGTTCAAGTTAGCTCCACTGACCCGCTGCCGCACTTGAGCATAAAAGACACTCCCATTGTTCGTCAATTTTTCCTTTAAGCTTACTCTATGGTTGATGGATCCATTCTCATAAATCATTGTTTTCATTCAAACTGTCTGGTTAGCAAGAAAATATAGTAGTAGAATTTTCTTGGGATCCAGATAGATGCTAATATTACTTTAAGACATAAAAGTTATAGTTGGAACTACAGAGAAGAAAAGGGTGTTTAGTGTTTACTGGCTGAGATTGTTTTCTTTGTGCAAAATTCTGAAACAAAAACTTCACATTAATAAAGTTTCTAATTTGATCATTACTAGGTTATATTCCTTGCTGCATTCTCGTGATGAAATATTGTAACTGTAACATTCCTTGCTGTTATGCGGTGTTATGTAGGAAACTTCCACTGCTCATTACATATTGCAGCAGTATACAGCTGCTTCTGGTGGGCTGAAGCTGCAAAACTCCATTCGGAACGCCTACGTGATGGGAAAGCTCAAAATGGTAGCTTGTGAATACGAAACCACAACGAAGACTGTTAAGAACCGATATGGCTCCAGAGGTGCAGAGTCCGGTGGGTTCGTGCTCTGGCAAATGAATCCGGACATGTGGTATGTTGAGCTTGCGGTTGGCGGCTGCAAGGTTCATGCTGGCTGTAATGGGAAGCTTGTATGGAGACACACACCTTGGCTTGGTGCTCGTACCGCGAACGGGCCTGTTAGACCCTTGCGCCGTGCACTTCATGTGAGGTTTCCTATTCTTATCGACTGCTGAACATTGTCTCTTGAGTCGATTTTTTTAGAATTGTTAAGTTTTCTGACATTTTATTTGTGGTTCATTAAGGGTCTTGATCCAAGAACTACAGCTAGTATGTTTTCTGATGCAAAATGCATAGGAGAGAAGACAATTAATGGTGAGGATTGCTTCATCCTCAAGCTTTGTACCGATCCGCAGACATTGAAGGCAAGGAGTGAAGGTCCTGCAGAGATCATTAGGCACGTTTTATTTGGCTACTTTAGTCAGAAGACTGGACTTCTTGTCCACATTGAGGACTCACATCTCACTCGTATCCAATCCAATGGTGGTAATACTGTTTATTGGGAAACCACAATCAATTCATATATTCATGATTACCGACCCGTCGAAGGTATCATGATAGCACATTCCGGGCGTTCTGTCATTACACTTTTCAGGTTCGGGGAAGCTGCAATGAGCCATACTAAAACAAGGATGGAAGAAACTTGGTCGATCGAGGAGGTTGCCTTCAACATACCGGGCCTTTCCATTGATTGTTTTATCCCTCCAGGTGATTTGAGGTCCGGATCTGTCAACGAAGCCTATGAACTACCTCAGGACGAGACGGCAAAGAGTGAGGTTGCCTTATCAGCACATTGTGCCAAAGTTTCCACACTCAAGAAAGCACAGGATAGTTGTGCCGACGGCATGATATGGAGGATGCAAGTCTGAAGAAAGGGTAGAATCAAATCTTAGCAATTGTTCAAATTGGTAGCTAGTTCAGTTGACTAACAGATCAAAAAGTCATTTTTTGGACTTTGGTTTGATGCCTCTATGAATCTGCAAACAGAGTATACTCATTCACAGGTTCTAATGGGGGACATGCATGAATGTTTATACTCTCGGCCCAGAACCCGACTACGGAGTTGGAGCTCGGTTTTCCAGTTAGGGATAGAGCTAATGGAGGTTGGTTTTTAGTTTACCTCGCATGATGGTAGGTGGCAAAGCTGCCCCATCAACCTTTTTCTTATAGTTAAACTAACTATAACGGTTGATGAAAATATAATGTGGCAGCGTCCTTTTTTGATGTTACAATTTCTGGATTTGTGATTCAAAGTGTGGTTGCTTGGCTTGCAAGTTTTTTTTATGAATATATATATCTCCATATTTCCTCCATTCATTTCCATATACAGAGATCTTTCTACACTATATGCAGCAATACCTAAAGTTGCACCAACAAGTGCAGATGACATTACTCGAAGAGATAGTCACGAACTCCGAACATAAACAGTAAATCGGATATGAAATGTAAAAAGTACAGACAAGTAAACATTGTTTGAAGGCTTTGACCATTGGGACCCTAAACACAATCTGCAGAGTGTGGGATTTCGAATCATTCAAAGCTAAAAAGCTTCTTGGCACGAGATGGAAGTCCTTCAATACCCCATGTGATTTTCTTTTCTTCTTCTTTTGCTCAAATGTTTTAACAGATAATTTCACTTGCTTTTGCAAACATATATGTACCATTTATTTGCTCAACTGCTTTGAAGCATTATTGACAAATCCTTTATCATTTTACCTAGATTCATTTATTAAATCTATTTTTTTTACAAATATACATTATTTTTTGTATCAATAAATATGATTAAATCTAATGTTTATGATTTTATATTAATGTTTAAATATGTATCGAATACATATATTATAGAATATTAGAAGGAAAACAAAAACCTTGAGAAATTCTAGGGGTATTTATTTTTTACACTCGTCCTTTGTTGATCTTGGTGTTTATTTTTTCCATATGAATCGAACCCATCAAATGGTTTCACTGGTTAAAAAAATATTAAAAAATATGCCGTGAAAGTTATCAATGTCAATGGAAAACTTTTGGGTAAATTATATTCAAGGTCACTTAATTATAGGATCGACAATAGACATATCACATTTTTCTTTAAGTTAAAGATAAGTCACTCAATTAAAATATCGTTACAAAAAAATTATTTCATTATCAAAATTGAAACAAATATATAATGTGGCATGTTATGATATCATTTTTAGTTCCTAAAACCCATACATCCTGTCAAATTTATCTTAATTCGGAACAATTCAATAAATTTAACTTTTCATATTTAAAAATTTCATCAATTAAAATTTTTTTTGGGTAATATTTTCAATTCAAGCGATCCCACTCGTTAAACTATTATTACACTAGGAAAATAATTTTAAAACATAAGTTGGATTTTTAAGTTGATACATAAACATAAAATAACATTTTTTATATTAAAAACTGAAAATGTATTAGAAATAGAAAGGTTTATAATCCCCCAATATATTTAAATAAGATATTAAAATATTTAAACTCCACAATACATGAATCAAATTCAATTTTTTTAAATTAAACTCGAATAATTTACTATATAAATCCTTTCATACACCTAAGAATGATAGGACTTCTGCTGGAAATGAAAGGTTGGGTCCAGATTGGTCGACCAACATAACTCACTAAATGGGCCTAGGCCTACGATTCAAGACTTTGGGTCGTCTTTCCATTTACTTTATATGAGTCTCCGTTAAAATGCAATAACTGTAACATTTATGACAATGTGGGGTCCAAAGCCCTCACCCAGAGACCGCTCGTAAAGCAAACAACACAAAAGAAGAAGAAAAATCTCAAGTATTTAAATTTGATTTTAAAATTCAATATAAGGTAAACTAATATACCACTGAAGTTTAGGCGGTGTATCATTTATAATACTAAACTTTCAATTTCTTTAATTATAATACTAACTTTGTTTTTGACTTCAATTATGTCATTGGATCGTTAAAATTCAAATAGTGTGATATCATGGACAAAACGATATCGTTTTGGTATGATTATTGACGCATAAAATGATATTGTCCTAGACATTGAACTATAAGCATGTATCGATTTTGCCACTAATTTGTTAAACAAAAATACTTTTTGGCAATGCACTTTTCTAATCGTCGTTGGCAGCCAATCGTCGCCCATCACTATTTATCTCCTATGATTAGCTTTCTACGAAACTCACTCAAAATCAATGAAATTAAAAACCTACCATTTTTAAGGGTTTGAGGACTTTCTTAGATTTAAGAAGTTTTGGTAGTTTGTTCGAACATCCAAATGGCGGGAAGCATAATTTTTTATAAGTCAAACAATATATCTCAAAATTAATCTCATTGGACGACCACTAGGAGAGATCGGAGTATTAGTACATAGATTCTTTAAATGGATTTTCATAGATTTTGAGTGGGTTTCATGAAAAACTAATTTTAGGGGAAAAAAGAAGAGTGAAATGTGAATATTTTGATATTGGTCTTACTACGAAAGACAACCGGTGATGGTTTGCGACTGGCTGCCAACGAAGACCATAAAATTTTAATGCCTAAAATTGATTTGTTTAAGTTCAATGGTAAAATAGATACAATCCTAAAGTTTAGTGCTATCGATTTGGGCATCAATTAAAACGATACGATTTTGCCCACATCATCACTATGACAGAAGATTTATCAACGTCATTGTGCTATTAAATTTTAACAGCTTGATGACATAATTGAAGTCAAAAGGAAAGTTTAAAGCTACGATTGGAGAAAATGAAAGTTCAGTGTATAAACGATACATTGTTTAAGTTTTGGTGGCATAAGGTGTAGTTTATCATATAATTCATTTTTTATTTGTGGTTTTGGGTTTGAGTATATAATTAAATGAAAGTAGTAAAAATGATGAGAGGAGGAGGTAGCTACCAACATACAAAAGGAACAATGAAAGTCCTCATAAAAAAATATCCCCAAAAATACAACCCCATCGTCAAATACGCGTAGTAAAAGGCCTCTTCAAAGAGACTTCACCCAATAATATCATGGAAATGTAAATAAACCACTGAAACTGAAAACCAAATACATGCGAATTGGTAAGAGCCCTTTCGTTTAAAGCATCAGACTCAGAACAGCCCATCCAGCCACCACCCAGCCTCCTACTGTCCACATTTTCTCTACGCCACTCTGCATTTCAATGTTAAAACACAAATAATATTTAATAATGTATAACCCCATAAATTAACAAAGTGTCAAGTACTATTAGAGAATGTATATATATATACCACATCAGTTCCAGATGGGCCTGGTGAAGAAGCGCCCAGGCTAGGAGCAGGGGCCTCGGTTGATGGAGATGGTGGGCTCGAGCCCAAGGGTGATAGCGCTGGAGACTTCGCTTTCTGTTTGCTAGGTGCCGGAGCCGGAACCGTGGCTGGTGGAGAAGCCAAAGGAGCAGGTGGTGTGGTTGCAGGAGGAGGAGTTGCCGGTGGAGGGGTAGCGGGAGGCGGAGAGGCGGGTGGTGGAGTGGCGGGAGGAGAAGAAGCAGGTGGTGGGGTTGCGGGAGGTGGAGAAGCCGGGGGAGGAGTGGCGGGAGGTGGGGTGGCAGGAGGAGGAGAGCTAACGGGTGGGGGAGTTGCTGGAGGAGGAGAGCTAGGCGGAGGAGTTGAAACCGGGGGTGGAGAGGCTGTCACTGGAGGTGGTGATGAAGTGGGAGGAGGAGTGGATGCCGGAGGCGGAGTAGCAGTCGGCGAAGGAGGTGGCTGAGTGGTAGGAGGAGGTGTTGAAGCTGGTGGGGTGGGAGGCGCCGGCGTGGATGTGGGAGGATTACTTGGAGTAGGAGGAGCTTGGCCTAAAACGCCAGCTACAGCAATGCAAAACAAAGCTGATAGAAACAAAAAATTATGATTAAGCATCATGTTGGAACAATGGCGATCTTTAATCCTGCGCACTCTCTCTGCCTTAAACTACGCCCAACACTTTTAGAACTGAGGGATAGAGAAAGCGACAGACAGACAGACAGGGGAACGAAGAGCAGGTATGAGGAATGAATAGAAGGTGGTATATATTTATACACCTTATATGGAATTGATCTTTATCATCCTCCAAATTTTAACCAACAAATAATACATACACACATATATATATATATATATATATATATATATTCATTGCAACTTCACGTACGGTCTAATGAAAAACGTAACCTATTTTTCAAATTTATATAATTAATTAAGTACAGAAAAAAATATTATCCATAATATTTCTTTTCAATAATTTATACGTAGAGATTGAGAAAGGAGAATTTTACTTTTAATAAATATTGAATACGCAACTTTAATAAGAGAGAAAATATCAACCGAAATTTTTTAATCATTAACTCTAAAAATTGTTAAATTATTCATAATATTTCTAATCATTTATATTTTGTAAAATTATGTTTAAGAATTTATAAACATAAAATTTTGAATATGAATCCTCAACGAAGTCTTTAAATAAAGATAAAAACTAAAATAAAATTAGGATAAAATATTACTCAATCTCAATTAAGGAGGAACATTTGACCCGATAACGAGCTTTAACTCGATCTAATTTGATTGATTTTTATTTAGAAAATTGGGTTTAACTCAGGTTTTTTGAAGGGTGGTATCGAGCTGCATTTGGATTTAAAGTGAAAAAATTTGACCCAGTATAATAATATTTTATATATTTAAAAATAATTATATTATTATTATTATTATTTTTTTTAATTAGATTTTTATTTTACCTAGTACAAGAATATATATTTGTTTGTATCATGTCTGATCAAATACATGTTTTCGCGTAAAAAAAATTAATCAAGTTTCAAGTCAGATGAAATCCTCTTAAAACTAGGTCAAATTGAGACAGTTAAAAGAGTTTACTTTTAGACACAAATTCAAATGGAAAAAAAATTAAACCTAACTAAACTCATAATCATCTCAAATGTCAATCCAATTTATGATATAATTAAGCTAAATTTTTTTTATCGAGTTGGATTGGCTACGAAATTTTGAGAAGAGGCATGTGAAGGATGAATTAAGGAAGGGTGGTTTTGGGGGGGGGGGGGGGGCTCCATTGAAATAGCTGGAAAATTTAAATTATCAAAACAAATGTAATTTGTACGCCAAGTTACATTGGGAGATTTGTACCGCCACAATTAGTTGGGTCATGGCCCCCGCTGTCACGCCATCATACGTGCTTTTACATGTTCTTCTCTTCCTCAACATCATCATTATTACTTACTCTTTCATATCCTCATCCTGGTCCTTTAATTATGATTAAATCTGAGATTTAACATTTATACTTCAATTTACCGTAATTTAATCCTTTTACATTCACAAGATCATTAGTTAGTTTTAAAAAATAGAGTTAACTATATCATATGTCATCGAACTATAATTAAATTTTTCATGTTAATTATTGGTTATTAATATCAAAATTAATATTTTTTAATAATATGGGTAATTATAAAATATTATATGTTCAGAATCTTTCTTAATCATTGACAACGTGCACGCACTCTATATATATAATTGTTTAAACTCAAGACTTTTAATGAAAATAATATTATCTTTAATTATAGAAAGATTACTTAATAGATTTGTTTCTGAAATCGATACTATGAAGCACTTAAAAGTGTCACAAATTCAATATCTACCGGAAATTCTGTAACACCCCCAACCCGTATCCGACCAAGATACGAGTCCGAAATGTCACATTGACTTTTCAAACACTTTTATAACATTTAAATTATTCAAAACATTTACAAAATTATTCAGAGCTTATACAATATATTCTTTTGATTACATGCCAACTAGAACTTTATATACAAAAATACATATTATTCACCTCTCTTCTGATCTGACATTCGATAAGGAGAACTGACATGTCTTGTTCCTCTTTACTTTTCTTTTCGCTTTCCAAACCTACGTGTGAAACAATCACACGCTAAGTCGAACTTAGTGAGGCATATAAAACATATATATTTCATATAACATAAAGCATACATAAACATATACCATCATTATCATAATCTATCATTATCATTAAGAAACACATAACATCATATGGTTCATGTAACACATTTCAAACCACTTACCTTTGAACCATTATAAACCCATCGTATATATCACATTCAGTATGCTTGTTTAATCACTTTATTAGCCCATGTACACTAGTGAGAACTTAAGGTATGTGAGTACATTGAGGTTGTGCACACATATGCTGTCACCACAGCTCGATCAATGTCCCAAATGACCAGTCCATAGATTCCGAAGAACCTAGGTAATCAGTCCATATGTCCCGAAGAACATAGGTAAACAGTCCATATGTCCCGAAGAACATAGGTAAACAGTCCATATGTCCCGAAGAACATATGTAAACCCTCGACCCTTGGCATGCCAACTATACCCTAGCTCTCATATCACATAACATGGGCATTATCATTTAACAATTCACATTACTTGTCATTTCTCTTCTGTCACATACCACATGTATGTGAACCATGTATTCCATATCATATCACATGTTCATATAAGCTCATAGCTTCTTTCACATATATGTAATCACTTAGTCTATTTTCATGTAATTCTTTTCACTTCTCATATGATTTTATATTCATATCTCACATAGCTCATATCACCTTGCATTGTTCATAAACATAGATGTCATATCTTGTTCGTATATATTTTCTATATAACTCATATATCTCATAGTTCTTTCACATAGCTCACTATCATATTTTCATATCATATATTTTATAATAGATTATTATATCATCATTTGTTTCCTTTCTACCTATTCATAATCGCATAACATATACAAAGCATATCATTATCTTTAGTCATGCATATATACAATCAATGTATACAGATAATCACATATAATTATAAAACAAACATAATCATGTCCATGACTTCATGCATATTACTCTAGGAAATAGACTCATCGCAAGTCTTATTTCCATTAAACACTACATATCACTAGTATGCACTCACCTTGGCCTCACTAGTCAATTCCAATCTCTTATCTTTCCCTTGATCGATCTTACTTGCCAAATGTTCTGGAATTGCTTTACGCGCAGAATCTACATAAATGTACATTTTGAGGCAATCATTAGATACCTACACCTTGTAATTGGATACTAGCAACTTAAACGAACTTATTAAACCAATATTCACATTTTTCCTTTAGGGGGAATCGATTCCCTCCTGTGGGGGAATCGGTTCCCCTATGAGATTCTGGAATTTCTGGTTCGCTTGAGGGGTATCGATTCCCCATTGAATGGGTACCGATTCCCCTTGCCCAGAAATCATATTTTCAGCACGAAATTTACTTCTTTTCATCTTAAACACTTCATATTTCAACCTCTCCTATAACTCAAAAACACATACTTAAGCCCATTTGTACTCATTTAATCCATCTTAATTCTCAAAATCCTCTCCTCTTAATGAAATTCAAGAATTATACTCAATTTTCAACATGTTCTAAATTCATTTTTAACACTCCAAATCTCTTAATTCAACTATTGACAAGTCAAATTCAACTTAAAATTCAACTTATCAACTTTATTTCAAGATTTCATTCAAAAACTCAAAATCATTAATCTCTCCTATACCTTTCATCTTGTTGTTTTATAACCAATTAAGCTTTCCTTAAGCTTAATTACTATCCAATGAACAACACCCAACCTTTAGTTGAACAAATAATCAACTAATGAAGAAACTTACCTTTGCCCTTGAGCTCTTACGGGAGGAGAAAGAAGAAAGGAAGAAGAGATGAAATGTTTTCATCTTCCACGTTTCAATCTCCTATTAAAGGAGATAAAATATCTTTATTTTCAAATGATCATTTTGCCCTTTACTACTTTGGATAATTACTAAAAACTTCCAAGGATTATCTCCACATAAATCATTGAACTTTTCAACTTTTCCACTTTAATCACCAAATTCTGAAATTTTACAATTTAGTCACTAACCTATAATTTGAGATGTTACAAATTCAATCAAGTAAGGAGAAAGACAAGCCAATTGTCGACTATGAAACTGCATCATTATCTCGACTTCCAACTATCATTGGTGACTCGTAATCTTTCATGCAAATGTTTATCTTAGTTTCACGTGTCACTTTATCATTGGTGCCTTATTCCTCCAAAGTGCTGTTCTTAGCCTTTGCTTATAGATCAATTCATTTTTTTAAATAACATTCTCTATATATACCGGTTAATGGTATCAAATGTCTTCAATCACTGTTCGACTGGCAATTTCGTTTAAATAATGGAGTAAGAAAAAAAAATCATACAAGATAAAATATAAATTATTTTCTTAAATAAAGTCTTTATTACAATATTCAACGAAAATCATTAAATTACACTACAATTTATTCATAAAATCATGTTCATTTGTGTCGTTTGTATGGAAAAGTCTCCGTGTAGTCTTGGATTATACAGTGATTTCTATTGAATACCGTAACAAAAACCCTATTCAAAAAATAATTTATGTTACACCTTACATAAGTCATTTTTTCTCACTCTATCATTTAAGTAATTTTACTCAGTTCGACTTGAATGTAAATGTTAGTTTTATAAAATATATTTAAAATATATGTATTTACGATAGGGATAGATTCAATATGATTTATCTTTTTTATTTTGATCAAAATTAAAATATTATATTTGAGTTGATTGTCTGATTAGACTTGAATATTAACATCGAAATTAATAATTAAACCGATAGAAGAATTTAATCAATACAATATTGATACTTTAAAGAAGGTTCAACTAGAATGTTTTGAGGTTTGAAGATCAACTTAAAATTAAGTTTGTAATCTGAAGTCATCTAATGGAATTAAACCTAAACCTAATTATGTTGTATACTTGTATTTGATGCTGTATATTTTAAAATATATATATATATAAGAACCAAAAATTCCAGCTTTTGGTTGGTTTGCAATTTTAACCAACCAACGGTTCATATCAATGAGCCGGTCCCATTCGGTTATTTTTCTTAATGATTGCCTTAATAATGCTCCCTTTTCCTTTTACTTTGGATACTCTCTATCTTTGCTTTGCTTTACTTTAGTTTAGTAGAGAAATAATTATGAAACATTGAATGAGTTCTCTAATATTCTCTGTGTTTGCTTTAGTTTACTCTAATTGGCTCTTTGTTTCTTTAATTTGTACCACCTAACATTTTGAATAACGTCCTTTCTTTGCGGTGATCATACAATTCGTTAACAATAACTTACATATATTCAAGGGGCACGTTGTATGTGACATTACTACAATGAGACGTTTCCCATGTCACCAAGTTTTACTACTACTTAAAAATAATAAAATATATTTTAAAATAAATTAACTGAACTCGTAAATTATATTCAAAGTAAATATTAAAATATTTTAATTCAACTAATTACCAGTTGATCTAACGAGATGCAACATTGTATCATTTAAATAAAGATAAAGAGTTTGAATTCTAACATTATGAATGAAAAAGATTAATTTAAAGAGTTGTTATTATAATAATTTTTTGTAAGATCAAATCTAATATAATCAACCAATGAATAAAACATCAATAATACATAAAAAATACCCATACTCAATTCATCTTAAATTATTATAGTTCAATTTTGGTTTAGCCGACGATGACACTAATCTTTGTTCTTGTGGCAAGTTCCTTATTGTTTTAGTATGTTTTTCGTACATCTTTACAAGCGTTTTGGTGCTCGCACAAAGAACCTCACTATATTTGTTTTCTAATTGATTTGGTGGTGGTTACATATAGTCAGATTCTCTCTCTGTTAATAGGTTGTTTGTCGATATATTCAAAATTGTGTAGCAAAACAGCCTGTCATATGGTTTGGTTCACTCACTACTCATTTATAACTTCATAAAGCGTCTCGTTCGACAGAGACAATGAGTTTTTATGAATGACATTGATAATTTTTTTTATGTTAGACGTCATCTCAAGGGAAATTTTTATTTTTATTCTTATTCGTATCTTTAAATTTAATATTTTTATTTTTATATAATTTTTTTGGTAACTATTATCTTTATTTTTCTCTATATTTAGATATCTTATAAATTAGATATATTCTATTGTTTTATTATCAAAATTCAATTCTCATTATTAAGAAAAATAAATTATTCAGCTTAACAACAGAGGCGGTGGGAAGGAGCCAAAGGGTATCGCCCCCCTTAAATATAAAATTTCCAATTCAACTTTTAAAAGTAATTTAAGAGAACAAATATTTGATTTCACATGCCAAAAAGATATTAAAATAGAAACATATAGAAATTGTTGTAGCTATTAAAGTTTATATTTTTTAATCAATTTAACGCTTATTCTTTTTGAATGATTAAATATCAAATTAAATTAATATATATATATATATATATATTGAGGGTTAAATATTTTATTATATTAAATAATTATTAAAAAATCAACTCAAAGTGGTCCTTAAGTAGCTTAGAGTAGAAGGGATTAAGTAGAGGGTCCCATAGGTTTAAACCATCATTTTCTCCAAATGTTAAGTGATGTTAACTGCTTAGCTTCCTCCATTCATTTTCCTTATTTTCCCCCCCATATTTATGAAGTAAATAAATTCAGTCATTAATCATTTAATTGATTAATTTCATGCCATAATTTTGGTTCAATTGCATAAGCATGTGGGTTCATCATTACTCCCTCTCAAATACACTCTTCGAGGGTTCGGTTAGTGTTAAACACGAAGGTTAGTTTGATATTTGAAAAGATATAGTTCAAAATATCATGTATAAGAAATGAATTTAGAAAAATAATTAAATTAATACATTTTTAAAATTATTTTGTGTATTGATTACTTTTTAATGCATTTTCAATAACCCTCACGGTGCCGTTTTACGTGTAGTGTATCTATCGGCTCAACCCGACCCTGCCAACCGCTCCAGGCCAGATCCAGATCCGCTCCAGCGACAACAAAAAAGGAAGCAGCCATTCAAGCCAGTCGACCCAGATGCAGGGTCCAGCAAGCAATGTGGTATGCAGGCCAGGTTTCCACTCAGTCCGCTTGGCTGCTGGGACTGATCCGCCCCACAAATCTGACACGTGCTATTTTGCCATCTTTAGGATAACTATAGATTTGATCCTTCTAATTTACTTATATTTCAATTCCGTCCGTTTCAACATGATTTCTTTACTCAGCATATATGTATTATCATGTTATATATTCACTAAATTATTACTATTAATTTTTTTGGTAAACTAAAAGAAAGCAAGCAAATTAACTTAATTACGGTCTCAACACTGCCAACCCTGATGTCGTGGCTTAGCAATTAATTTAGTACTTCCAATTATTCCTCCATGATAATTATAGTTTCGTCTTAAATTTATATCATATTAGTGAACTTATTTATATATCTGTATACTTCACAGGAGATATGTCTTATTTATTTAACCCAAACTTTTTGTATCATATTTTTACAATCTTGGATTAACATTTGTGCTGGATGTTCTTTTACTAATTCACCATTTAATACATTGATTACCCATTTTACATTCAATTCCACGATTAGATTCGTGCCGTTGTGTCCAAGATCATTTTTGTTTCGGTGGTTAACTTATGGGCGTAGTAAAGAATTTGACTCCATCTTTGTTTATTTATTTTGATAAATTTGAAGTAAATACGTGCTAGTATTTGTTTAAAAATTCTTAATATCGATAATGTACGTTCATACGTTGATACCCCTATATATGTAGTATTCAAATTGAGGACCTTAAAAAATAGAAATAAATATCTTAATCACTGAGGCCGTTTGATTCGTGTCAATCTTTATTTAATTTCGTTGAAGACTATATCATTTCTACTTCTCCATAGACCCCATAGAACTATAGCGAAGAGTGTTCCCATTGAAGTGATGAGCTCCAACTACGTGATGAGCTTTTCAAAAATTCATTACATTTTTGAACTATCACAAAATGACTTCAATAACTATTTTATCGATATATATATATATATATATATATATATATATATATATATATATATATATATATATATATATATATATTATTATTTTTTAAAAACTGTAATATTTAATCATATTAAAATATTCATGCATATATTTTCGTTGAAAGCGCTCAAGAACTCATAACGTTGATAACTTTTTATGGGTTGTTGGTTGATGATTTTCTATTTGAATGAACTAATTATATTATAAGGAACGATTAATCTAAACTAGTACAAAATTGAATTGAATTTTATATACTTTTATAAAAATTTCTAAGACTAAAATTTTAACAATTTAACTTGGGATGAAAACGAGTCAGGTTGTGTCGGGTTTTTGGTCAACCCGATCCGACTTGAAAAATATATACTCTCCACCCGAATCTGACCCAACCTGAAAAATACTTAAACTCCACTTGATTCGATTCGACTCGAAAATCACATTTTCTCTACCCGAACCCGATCCAACACGAAATTTTAGAATATAAATTCAACCTGACCTGACCCGACCTAGTATAAAATAAAGACCTAATTAAAAAAGTTATAGAGAGATCAGGTATCATAATAATTGTTCATAAAAAATTATACTATTATCCTTGGGTCGGGTCGGTCAAATATTTTTCACCCTCCACCCGAACCCAACCCGACCTCACCCTATATAAAATCCAACTCAAATCCGATACGATTTTTTTTTTTTAAATACCCCAGCCCTCTCGAATCAAAATCTATCAGTTTCGGATTAAATTCTCATTCTCTAAATTTAACTACTAAATAATGTATTCATTGATATATTTAACGTTTAAAACTTGATATGTATAATCTACTTAAATACAACATGAATTACAATTAAATTGTTACGACATTAATCGTATTAAAAATATATATAGATATACAAAACTCATTTAATTTTACATTAGTACAAGCGTATTTGTTTCCTAATGAAAATAAGATGATCTAATCATGTCAAAATTATAGTACAGGGAATAAATCCCAAATTCGAGTAAAGGGACCAAACCCATAATTTGACCTATATGAATTATGGTTATAAAGAAATTTATTTTCTTTTAATTCCCATTTTGAAGGATGTAGATATGGCGGATTGAAGAAACTGGGAAGTTATTGCATATAAACTATGAACATAGGATTAAACAATACAAAAATGTTTGCCTTTCATTTTTCTGGGATTCATTGACATTTGATAGAAGAGGCGAAAAGACAAGAATAAACAGATCAAAGATAAATCAATCTATTCATTGTCATAATTTCACCTTCAAAAACTCCAGATTTTGTCCAAAACCCCAACTCTATGATTTGGTGTTTTCTATACATAAAATTAAGCTTACTTGGAACAGTCATTGTATTGTGTTTCAGGTAATTGTTTGAAGCAGATCCTCGTACCCTTCATCCCCATTGAAGGAATAGATGTCAACAGGTGCCGTTGTGCAACCCGTCGCATTCTGCTTCATTCTATTATTGCGAGACCCTCGGTGTTTGTCGAGATAAATTACGACCACTGTGATATCGTCGTGAAAGTGACGCCTTATACCCTTTTCGATTTTCTTGATGTCACCGTATCTCATCTCCCTTTTCTTTGCAACTTCTTGGAGTGCAGCTCTTACCAATCTCTTAGCAATACCCTGCAAGGTTCGAGCAATAGAATGTCAAATACCGACATGCTATTGAGACGTTGCATTTCCATATTCCACAGGTTTCTTAAGGCCTGTAGATAATGAAGACTGGTTTATAAGATAAAACGAAAAAAAAAACATGAATACTCACGGCTCTCGGGTTTTTGAAAACGATGTTTACGGCAGCTTCATCACTCAACTGCTCCCATAGGCCATCTGATGCAAAGATCAGGAACTGATCCTGCGGCTTAAGTTTTCTAATAAGGATTGAGGGTTCTGCTGTAATAACCGGCCTTTTAATCGGAATGGGGTTTCCGAACCGCTGAAAGATCGGATCTCTATAAAACTCTGGTTTCTTCAGGTAAACATCACCAATAGATCTTGACACCTGAAACAATAAAACAGAACTGCTTAGACCAGCACGATGCTTAGGAGAAAAAACTCTGTATTTACGTAAGCTTAGCATTATGCTTCAGGGATCTGCATTTTGTTCATCTCATGCATAGAAGGGATACTATATGACAAATAGCTGCATGAGACGGTACAGAAAGTCGGAAGCATAACCGGTTTTCGGAATAAATTTCATAGCAATGCACAATGCATACGTGCCTAAATATATCTATGCACCAAGCGAAAAATGAAAATGCTTGCAAGTAATACCTACAAAGAAATATGTAAATGGTTTTGCTTTGGGGCAGATACAGATCGAACTCATGGTGAAGCACCGAAAAGAAAAAAACAGAAAAATCGGCGTTGAGTTCATCAACGACGACTAGAATCAATACATTGACTATTCCTGAAACTGATTGCTTTTAAACTAAACTCCTACAAATCAACTTGTCAGCAGAATTGTACCTGGATTATGCCCTTAATCCTCCAAACTCCGCGGGTATACACCACTATATGAGAATCATCTGGATGAAGCTCCTCGACTTCCTTCCGGACTTCCTCAACTCCGACATTATGATCTGTTGACAGCCTCTCTGCCACTACCTTGTTTCCTTTCTCCTCTGAAACTCTCCTGCCAAGAACGGCTCTTGAGTCACCAAGATTTGCCACGTATAACACATCGTTTGAAATTGCACCAACTAAACAGCATGATCCAACTGAAGCAATTTGAGGCCTCAAAGAAAATGACCGCTTCACCAAATGCAAAAACTCTTCTTCAGTGGCATTGAATGCCCTCTTTATCACATCTGCAGATAATTCCCCTTGTTCTGTAGCAAATTCTACAATGAAGAAAAGAAAAGAAAATTAAGGGTCTCCATCAATCATTTCAAAATACAAATCCATAATTATCAATGAAAAGGAACAAATCCCATGAAAAGAATGAGCTGAAAGGGGCCAATTAAACTTTAGAAAAATAGTTCATATTCATTGTATACACAAGTGCAATTATCAAACTACTAAAACAAAAGTGACAATAGACACTTGTAAATTGAATCTAAATATCCATATACTGAAAAATATACTCTGAATTAGACATAAAAGTTTCCCTGCAATGGACATAAAGATATACATACATACATATATATTCATGCCATAGATAAACACATAAGAGCCCCATATCCAATGATCTAAAAAGCACCATGAAACTTCAAATTTGTCCTTAACAAGGAAATATATGCTATATATTCTATATCAACCCCCACCCCCAAAAAAAGAGAGGAAGAATTAGACTTGCAAACAGATACAAATTTAGACAAATAGCTCATATTCATTGTATACACAACCAAAAGTTAAAATTTTCAAACAAATAAAACAAGAATAGACATAACTGTAACTTTGAACTTTCTGATTATTCCATTGACAGCTCATGGTTATTCGTGTCATATCCATCCGTACACACATGTTATATGTTCATTCATGCTGTATCTATATATTCTACATTAAACCATAAAAAAAGAAAAATTCAATGAATAAACTGAAGTAGAAATAAAGAGAATTACTGTGGAGAAACGGGAAGAGGTGCTTGTTGACAAATCGGGAAGCTTCGGGTCCTCCATGACCATCATAGACACCGACGTAGGTAGCGAAAGGAGAGGTAAAGACTTGGCTTTGATCTTCAAGGTGGTTGTTGGCTTGCACGACGGCGATGGAGAAATCACCGGAGGCGTGGGGTTTAAGGTCAGTGTGCCACATGAGAGAATCACTGCCGGCCCTCATGCCGAGGCAACGTTCGAGCGGCCGTGAAAGCGACCGTAAAATCATCATCGTAATAATAACAATAAGAATAATCCCTTTGGGAAGGGGATTAACTAAACCTCTCGAATACTTTCGAAAGGGTTTTTCTTTTCTCTTTCTGGGTTGTTTTCGATGAGAGGAAAGGGGAGAAATTTAAGAGAGAGAGAGAGAGAGAAGGAGAGTGGAGACTGGGGTAAAGTGAAGGAAACTAAAAGATGCCGCGTGAGGTGGAAGATGCTGACCAAGGACCCTAATACTTGCTGTTATTACTTTCCACTCTACGCGTTAACCATTACTTTGTTTTTCCCTTTTTTGACTTTTTTCCTTTTAAATAAAATATTATATTAAAATTTTCTATTATTATGACGATTGACAACTCCCAATTGTTACAGAAAACTAAATATTAAATCTCTTAAAACATACAAGTTCATAAGATCGATCATGTAACGAAATCTTATAATATTTTATTTTAATTAATAAATTAGATATAAATAATTATATAAAAATAATATTTTAATATTAAAAAAACTTTATATATACATATTATACATGTATGCACGTAAAACTGCATGAGTCATTTTTTATACTAAAATGTGTTCACAAATAGATTTGGTATTCCATTGTTAGGTATATGTGAAATTCTAAATTTTAAATATGTAAAAATAACTTTAAAAATATGCTTAATACAACATTTTAATGAATGCTTTGTACATGGAAATTACGTACATATATATGAACTATTGTTCACAAATCAAACTTGTGTGTGAGAATAAATGCTTTGCACATTTAATATTTTGATTTTTCTTTGATTTTTTTTTTCTGTCTATAGAATCAGAGTAAATATGAAAATAAATGGAAATGTTACATTTCAATTTAATATTTACATGTATATTGAGAGTAATAAAGATAACTTTTTTTAGTAATTAAGTATGTAATTATAGCATTTACATATATAATTCACAAATATGTGTAAATCTTATATGTAATTAACACTTTAATTAGGTAAGTGTACGGAACAAATCCACAGATATATTTTATGTATATAATTATTGATTAATTGAGTATATTTTATGTATATTCAATTAATTGATTGATTAATCTATATATCTAATATTATAAAATTATTACGAGGGATCCAAAGTGCTATTCAAGATTCTTTGTGCGAAATATCTGAAAGAAAGGCATAGATACCAAACTTATGTAGACAAATGTAATCATTTATGTTTTCAAAACAAAAATTCAAGCGATTGACAGGCTCTCAAAACTATGTTTCTATCAAGGAGTTTTATAGTATACTTCTTCTACAGTAGGGACAGTCCCCACACATCCGGACCCAAGGATCCAAGCAAGCAAAATGAAACCTGTGCCCACACGGCAACCGTGTCAGCACATCTTCTTCTCCAAAGCTATCGAGACATATACTGCAATCCCTCGATTCCCTTGACGTCTTTCTCTCAACGTCCACCTCTTGGCTGCTGAAAACTTCCAACGGCAAACGGTTCACGGCCTCCTGAGTAAGTCCTGGAGGCTTCTTGCTTGTTTCATGTAACAATTGAAACCTTTCTGTTTCAGAGGTTAATGGGGAACCCCTAGGTGCCAACCCTGTAGAGATTTCGGTTACGCTCCTCAAATCATCATCTGATACATGCTCCCTGCGGTATGCATTACGTGGAGTTCTACTGCTTTGCCTGAAGAAAATAATAGGAAGAAACCGAAACCAAAATGAATAAAACAAACAAACCATGATGTATGAAATGTTTAAACCGCAATTTGTGCTTTAGAAGTCTATTGCTTAATGCGAGATCTAACATAAATGTGTCCACCATTGAATGCCACACGCAACATAAATACAATACAGGTTCAGGTGGTCCACATGCTTCTCTCAACCAGTTAGGAAACGAGTAATACTAATTTGCTAAGTAAATGAAGTGGGAGCAGATGTGGTGCGGATTGTCATAGCGATAGTGATGTTAGTAGTAGGAACCACTAATATGACAGCATAGAAAGCACCAGCAGTGGGACTGGACGGTAGTGGTAATTAGTGATGCAAAAACAATCACCAACTGGATAGAAAGCACCAAAAACAGCAGCGAGCCTTCAAATTATGGTACCACTGGTAGCTGGGGAGTAACAAAAAAAATCTGCTTTTTACGTATTCGCAGAAGTGGGACGCAAAGTGATGAATGACAAGCATAAAAGCAAAACGTTTTTAAGGAAAAAAGAAAAAGACTGCAGAAACATGACGATTTAGTTAGGCAACTCTATAGAAGTATCTAGGACAACAAAGGCAAAGACAACAGTAGAAGTTAAATTCATTAGTGACAACCCACCCAACTGAATTGCTGAAAAAATAGTGCATAGTAAGTTTTGGACTGAGCAAAAGTGTAGGCCTTAACCGGCTATAACCCAGAGTCATCTTCCTAACAGCTCTATCATATGATACGGTATCTCCTTTCTTATTACGAAACCAAGCCAGACTCTTAATACCCCTAATACAAGACCCCATATTTATTTTTCGGATTCACTAATTACAGTGGAGCACAATCAACAGCAAGACACTGAATCTTCCTACAGATTATGACACAGATTGCTCATACAATAGTTGCTTCTTTTGATTATTTTACACCCTCAACGGATCCACAAAATCAAAGTACAAAAGCAAAAATATCATCTGAAACCAGGTAACTTTTACATGTTTCCACAAGAGTCATCCATACAATCATCAAACTTGATAAATAATAAATGTGACGTTTTAAATGAAATTTCCATCAGACCATGAATAGCTGGGATAAATGTTTGATCCAACTAGAGTAGCAAAAACAAATTGAGTTCCAAAGGTAAGTTCACCATCATGAATAAAAGTGGCTTCCACACGATATCAAAGATCACGCAGAATATAAGTATCCAATATAAATTAGGGCATGATTCAATAGCTATTATGGTTTACTTGTCCTTGCACTTTGAAAAGAAATAATAACATGCGTAATCCAAGGAAGATAAATGTGAAAACTATGAGTTTCAAACTTGCAGAGAGCTCTAAGAACCAACCTGTTTCCAGAAACAGACATGCCTCTCAGTCGCTCAAGAAGCCTCGCTCTTGCAAGTAGCACAGCTCCAGGAAGCCTTTCATCTGAACTCAAACTTCGCCCGCTTACATTGCTTACACCATCCACATTTAAACCATTGTTCAATATAAGCTCGCTGGTACCTTCATCAAACCTTGCTCTTGCAAGCCTCTCATTTGATCTCAAACTTTGCCTTCTTGAACTGTTTACAATGTCTGCAGTTAACCCATTGCTCGATACAAGCTCACTGATACCTTCATCAACCCGCACTGATGGACGCTCCTGAAAAAAGCCATATTCAATACAGAATTAGTCAGACAATCAAAATATCCAAAAACGATAAATAAGGAAATGGTACAATCTCAATGCATCCAAATATAAGTGATTCAGGCGAGGAAAAATAAATTATAAAAAGCAGGTAAAAATATCAAACTACCTATTCGGTTCTTGTATAGGTCGGTGGCTATATTTTATTGCAAGTGAACTAAGGGTTTAGTTAAATTATGAAGAAAGTTTTATATTTATACAACTTTCCACTGATAAATTTAGCTTAGGAGTAGGACTATTGAATTTCATAGCAAAGTTCATCATTGAAGCATAAACCATACAATTAGTTAAATACAATACTTAATTTAAAAAATAAAATTGCAATTTATTTCACCTTCCGAGAATAATACCCACACTAACATATTTTCTTTTAATTTCTCTCTCTCAGCAACCTAACAATAAATAAATAATCTGAAAAAAAAGGTAATGGGAAATTGAAAAATTGAGTCGTACGGTGAGGGAGGAAGCACGCGAGCTGAAGTGGCGCACGTGGGAAGACCGGCGGAGAGAATCGACACCGTCCAAATCATGCCTGTTATGGTGATGACTGAGGTGATTCCGTTCAATCGAGGACCCAATCCCTGAATCCGGATCGGGTCGACCCACTCTCGACCTTCGAGTGTAGAACAACTCCGAAGCGCTAGTCATCCAACTAAAACCCCCAATGCTTTTACTTATCCCCAAAAGAAATTAAAACCCAAATTATTTTGAACTGATTTACGGATTAAAAATTCCTCTTTTTTAATCCAAAGAACTTAAAGATACCTTCCAAAATTCCAATTATATATTTGGAGTAAGAAAAAAGAAAATGAAGAGAAGCTACTGAATTCCTCGGAGAAACGCGGGGGAAATTTGCAGCAAATAAAAATCAGTAGCCTTAGCTTCAAAGAAACATATATTATTTTAAATCAAATTCAAAGAAACAGACTAAAATAGGATCAATTTCGATGTTAAATTTGGCTTTATGCCTTCGGTAAAGTAAACCACCTTATAAAAAGGTTTAATTCAGGAGACACTCCCGTATTATATCCATATTTTAAATTAGTCCTTAACTTTATAAGGTTTTTATTGCATTTATCAAGTATCAATGGTCAATGAGGTTTTTGTTGTTGTTTAATTATTAATTAAATTGTTAAATGTTATGTTATGTGTTTAAAGCATATAATTTTAAACACATCGCATTTAAAAAATAAATTTAAAATTTAAATGATATTTTTAACTTGTTATATTTAAGTTGTCCATAAAATATATATCTAAATTTAATTCATGCATCTTAAATATTTTTGTATTAAATTTAATATTTAATTCATCAATTAAATTAATAAAAAAACTTGATTTATATAAATATACCCTAATTTTCTCTTTTCTTAAATTTTTTTATTAATAAAATTAATAAATTTAACTACCTTTTATTGATAATGATCGAAGAAATGATTGCTAATTCTTTTTGTCTTTCTCTAGTTCTTCCTCTACCTTCTCCTTTTATCTCTCTTCTCTTTCACATTTCTATAAGATTTGTTTTGTATGCATATTTTATTTATATAAAAATGCTTTCAATTGATATAAGGTAACATATTTCTCTTTGATGATCTAAATTCAAATCACATTATCTGTAATATATATATATATATATATATATATATATATATGAATATGAAAAATACATATACTACAATAGAATAACAACATAAAAAGTTAAAAATTGATCTGGACTCTCACACAGCCATGTAAATTTTTTCTCATAAAAATGATTGATTTTTTTATTATATGAAATTTAGTTTTATTTTCATAGGATTTTTCTTAAGGTTGAATTTGTGATTGTCTCAATAGTTTGTAGTTGTTTGATTATCTCATTATCTATATCTACTTCAAACTTTTGGATTGCTTCTCTTATCTCAATATATGCACACAATCCCTTCAAATGTATTGTGTTTGAACTCTAATCAATTCAGTTGCCAATATATTTTATATTGTCATGTTCTATAATTATATTAGTGTTTTAATTGTGTTTATCATTTGACGTCGATAATAATATTTGTTTATATCTTTATTTTTTCAAAAGTATTTAGTTGTCTTTTGTAATCATTTCTTCGTATGGTATCATTTAATATAACATATGGGTTCTAATAAAAAAAACTTAATTGACACAATATTGATATATTAAAATTTTAATTAAAATAAAATTTGAACACCAATTTCAAATATAAATTATAGTTTGGGATATCTACTCAATTAACCCTTGTGAAGGGAAAACAACAACGGTATAATAGTTTATGCGCTAGTAAGGGAAGTGGCATTTACAGAAGCCACGTGCTAAGTGTCACATCGGTCGTTGGACTGCAATGAACGGTTAGGTATGATATGCAATTGGATACAGACGGCGATGACCAACGGTATGATCATCGGAAAAGAGAATCAGCGCCGCCTGTTAATATAACGATATTTTTTTCACTCGCTATATGTCGTTGTTGGCGGTTAACTATTGGAAAATATAATGCATAATGATATAATTCTCCTTAATGTTTGTATGAATGGTTATTTTATTTTTAATGGTTTAATTTTTTTGTCAAAACATGGATGAAAATTATTATAATTTTTAGGTATAAAACGAGGCAGGTTTGAATTTTTGTAAGAGGCATGATGATTTGTATAATAAATTTATAATCCAGACGTTAATTAAATTTTGTTTAAAATATAACGTAATTTTAAATACCGTATAACACAATAAGATAACATGAACATGAATTTATAGGGTATCATTACACACCAGCAGAGATAATTTCAGCCGCTAAGGCCAAAATATTTATTTTTTCTTTTTGGTTACAAAGCCAAAATATTTCATTCATAAGATCTTTATTGATTAACTATTTTAGTGACTAATTTTGTTTGATCGTCACATGTTTGCATGGAAACAGTGATTGTCGTGAAATGGTGATTCACCGGGCTCCGGTTTATCGACACCTTCCATGTCCCTAACCCAAAAACTCTGGTTGGAAGAAGCCGCCATGGCCGGAACATCGTTCATCACCCATTCATGGCCTTTAGGGAAGTATATTCCAGTCTTTGGGTGTGGAACCCAGGTGGAGGAACCTTTTATATCGTTGTTATTGTTGCAGTTGTTAATGATCTCCCGATCTGCCCCTGCAATTTTGCTCAAGGGTCGCTCAACTCGCTTAGATTCCCTGCACCCAAATTTCATTCGTTACTATTAGTATGAACCAGTCGATAAGTTGGTAAGAGATGACTATTAGTTTTAGATGTTTTGGGTTCGAGAACGACGTGGTGTTTGAGTGTTTATTATCAAATGATTAAGAATCTATATATACTATATTGTAATCACACCACACTAATAAAAAACAATAATAATTAGAGTAAACTACCTATTTGGTCACCCACTTATTTACGTATTTTTGTTTTAATCACTTAACTATTTTTTTTTAAATCATGCATCACGTTACATTTCATTTTTTATCACTCGCCATTCAATTTAATCGTTCACTTAACAGAAATGATGATGTGATATGATAAAATAACAATTTTAATCATCAAAATTTATACATTCCATCAAATTAGTCATAATTGAAGGAATCCAATAAATTCTCAGTATTTTAAAATCATATCAATTTGGTTCTCCTTTTAATTTGAAATAGTTTAATAATTTAATAATTTTTGAAGATGTGTGCCTACTTTTAAAATTGTCAAAGCTTGGGCTTATGGTGTGAATGTCCCTTTTACTTTTTATTTCAAAAAAGTTGATCATCTCTAATGATAAATCTTACCGTCGATTTAGAACATTCTCGAATCGTGGCCTAAGCGTAACCATCGTTCCTTCGTCGTTCAGCTTCCGTCGCATGAACCCTCCATCGTTTCGTTAAGCTTCTCCCTCTCTAACCTTTTCAACTTAAACCCCAACCAAAACCCAACGACAACCTTCACCAGATCGACTTCACCTTACTAACACTCCAGACCGTACCCTGAATATATTTGAGCCACGCCCTTACGCCCCTCTACGATGCCAATTCTATTGCGCCCCTCTTGCCTATCTCTGAACAACTTAAACCCCGATTACCCCTCACCATATGTCACTCCCCATATGAGTGTGCACATACCTCCTCTGACCGAACCCAAGCAAGCCCCTATATTATGTAGCCACCAATAAGAACCCTAAAATCCATTTAAACCGCTATATTAAAATCTTAAACCCTCGAACCTAAAAATCCATTGAAACCTCAGACTATTATTGAGAATTAAAATTGAAAACCCAAAAAATAGTGGTAATAAGATAGAATGTGTAAGTTCTTTGGACTAAAACCTTTATTATATCATGCCACATCATCATTTTCATCAACTCAACGGTCAAACGTAACAACAAAAGACCAAAATAGAAACGAAATGTAATATTAAGTATGATTTAAAAAAAAAAGAAAAATTAGGTGACTAAAACAAAAATGTAAGAATAGTCGATCAACTAAATAGATATATAGTTTACCCTAATAATTATTATAGCAGACCATAAACCAATATATAATTCAGTACAAACGTACCTTAGCATTAAAATCTTGCTTTTGGTGAAAGCAACTCTTCCCATGCAATGCAGTTCTTATGATCAGAAATTTCTTATAAAACCCTAAAAATACCGAAAACAAGGTCTTATAAGTGTCTATGAACGGAATAACGAAAGGAGATCGATTTATATAATGCTTTGAAAATGCGGCTTTTGTACTAAAAATTTATCCCTTCCCTGTGAATAAAGATTTTGGAGAATAAGTTCGATTGGTGAAGGTTTTACAGAAGAAGAACATTATACTTTAACTTTAAGAAAAGAATATAGATTATCAGGTGTTATTCCATGGTGGGGGGTCAATTCAACGATCTGTGGTTATAAATAATGCTGGTTTATTCATCTCAAGGGCTTTGGAATATTGAGAAACTATTAAGAATAGAACGACAAGTAACAGGGGGAGTTATAATCAAATATTGAAAGAGATAAAAAATATATTAAATATTTAAATTAAAAAATCGAGAGAGATAAAAGTATTATTAAACTATTACTTAAACTAACGAAGAGCTAAAATATTATTCTATAAAAAAATTTGGGGTTAGAGTTCTCCCCACCCAACACAGGCTTGTTTGCAAGTGGTGTGATACTCGTATAATTCTAAATATAACTCTTTAAGTGGTCTCAATGATTAAAAATAATTTTATTATCCTTTAATGACATATGAGTTTGAGCACCGCAGGGGTGTATGTAGGCCTAGGCTTACCTAGGTCATGCCCCACCCCATGTTCCAAAGAGTAAAATATTTATTTAGTCACTTACGTATTATTTAGTTTTTATTTTGGTCTCTAATTATTATTTATTTTAAATCATACACACTTAATGTTAAGTTTTTATTTTTTTTGGTCAGTCGTCTTTAAAGAATTAGTGGTGTTGTTGATGTGTCATCATAAGATAATGTCACATCAAGATTGAAAAATAATAATAAAATGTCATGTTAACATCATTGTTAATTTTTTAACAATATGTGATTAAAATAAAGCCAAAACGTAAGGTTATGTATGATTTTAAAAAAAATAATAGTTGAGTGACAATAACATAAGTTGAGTAATAGGTGGGTGACCAAATAGTTAGCTTACCCTAAATTTAAAATATGTATGAATTTTGTTAAGAAAATTATATTGGTCTAATTAATTCTAGATTTAATTCACACACGTATATATATAACTGTCATTATATTTTTAAATTTAAAATATATATGAATTATTTTAGATAAAATTTGTATTATGTTTATATTGGCTAGTCTACAGAATTTTTCTGGATTCGCCACTTAACAATATTCAAGATTATATAAATTTAGATCTAAGTTTTAAAAAAAACTCTAAATAGTACATGCTTTTAACTCTTTCAAGTTATGGAAGTGTATTATTAAGAATATATTCAATGAAAATAACTTATTTCTTACACATGTATGGTTTTCGTTCTTGTATTATATTCAATATTTTATTTAAATACTTTAATTTAATATATCTTGATCCCCTTATTATTGTCAGAGTTATGTTACGATCCATTAATATTATTAAAAAGATTATTTTAGCATGTTTATAAGGCTGTGAATGAGATGAATTTGTACGGATTTATTTATTTTAACTTAATATGTAATTAATATATAAACATTTCACGAATAATTTATTGAACGTTTTATTTATTATAACTTTGTGTGTTTATGTAGAATTAAAAGCACACAAAACCCAATATCTATGAATTCATTTAAAAGGTAAAACTATCGCAATCACAACAATAGGTTTTCGTTATTAAAACAATAACAACGACAACTAATTAAATCTCACGATTTAAATGTTTAGATGTAATTATGATATATTTTGAAAATATCATAATTCGTGAGTTAAAAGTAATTAGAGTCCTCAAATTATACTTTTTAACTTTTTTTATGGATATATTTTCGTAAGAACAAACTCTTATTACTCTTAAGGATTAACCTAAAAGAAGTAACATCGAGAGAGAAACTAACCTCAAGTCAACAAACTTACCTCGTTTGCCCAAACTTAGATCTCTGGAATAAGAATGAAAATACAGCAATGAAACTCATTATGTATTACAATAATTATCTCAACGTGACAAATAATAAAGGTAGTATAATCTGATAGAGCAAAACTATCATCGAAAATCAATGAGTTGTTGAACAAACTTATAAATGAACGAGCTTACAAATAAGTTTATTCATGAACATAAACGATACGAACATAACTTTATTTAAACTCGTTTATTTAATAAATGAATATAACATTATACTGTTTTTATTATTTTCCTGGTATAACAACAATTTAATAGTCTTGTTGCTTTATAGAAGAATTCAGTTATCCAACTGCTACTTTAATTAGATGGGCTCACTTGATTTGACAGTATCGCAAAATATATTAAATTGATGGAAATTTTAAATATAAAAGATTAAATTTATTGAATTATTTTGAATTAGAAAACGAATGATAGAATGTATAACTTTTAGGGACTGGAAATATTATACCAACCACATTAGACGTCTTTCATTTTTCAAGAAGGAATGACCTGTTTGTGATAATGTCTGAATTGAGCGATATGTTTGTAATTTTTAGGGAAAATGACCCATTTATTACAAAATACATAATAGAGTAACCTGGGTAGTTCTGCGGTGCGGCGCCTAAAAAACGGCTAATATACGGCGTGACCGGTTAAACAAGTGACCGGTTAAAATTTAAACGGTTATGTTATATTATTTAACCGAAAATATTATAAAGTACAATAACATACTAGGTAGCGCTTATATAATGTAATAGGTAGCGCTTATATTTACCTATTTTATAAGTAAACCGGTATATTTATACCGATAGCATTGCAAATTTACCTATTACATTATAATATGTTGAAAGTGTCCATACTTTTTATAAAAATGATCGATACTTTGTTTAAAGTTATGTAATTTATGTTTCAATTTTTTTTAATAGTGTTTCATGTTTTTCACCTATAATATTAATTTAATAATTTCATTTACACAAAAAATTATTTGATTGTTTTGATATTTTATAAAATAATATTTAGAATTTAAATTTAACAATATTAACCAAAGATAATAATAAATATGTAATATATATGTTTATTGTTTTTAATTTAATAATAATATATACCGTAACGTAAAAAATAAATCATTAGACGCCTATAATTACTAAATTAATATCTTAAAACTCACTCAAAAGATAACCTTAAATTAATGTTTTCCACAGTGAAAAAAGTATGGACACTTTTATAAAAAAGATAGATACTTTACAATATAAACACTACCTATTACATTATATAAACGCTACGTATTACATTATATAAGCGCTACCTATTACATCATATTTTTACCTATTATATTGAAAGTGTCCATACTTTTTATAAAAAAGATCGATACTTCTTTTAAAGTTATGTAATTTATGTTTCAATTTTTTTAATAGTGTTTCATGTTTTCCACCTACAATATTAATTTAATAATTTCATTTACACAAAAAATTATTTAATTGTTTTGATATTTTATAAAATAATATTTATAATTTAAATTTAACAATATTAACCAAAGATAATAATAAATATGTAATATATATGTTTATTGTTTTTAATTTAATAATAATATATATCGTAACGTAAAAAATTGTCAGAACGTTAAGTATTGTCAACTACAGCATTCAATCTATGACTTTTAACAATTTTACCACAAACGGTTTTTTCTTTCCACTTACAAAATCACCAGTTGCCCCTGTAGAACCGATCGATTCCATCCACATCATCACATACATGCCGCAATCATGTCTGTTACAAAATTTGAAAACCACACATGTCAATTATGATGAATACTGCATAAATTAAGACTTCTATTTGTGATAACATCTCATACCCATTCAATTGCTTATTCTTCTTATGCTCCACAAATTTGAAATTTTTCAAGGGATATTTTCCTAGAGATCCACAGGATTCAACCCAAATGCGTTTCTTATTATAATAATATAATATTTTAATCTGCATTAAAATAGAAGAAGTTATGATCCAAAAAAATTATGTATTATAATTTACATAATGTCCTTTCATACATACATACATACATACCAATCTCTTAGCATCCTTCACTCTCTGTTTAGCTGCTTCAGTTGTAAACATACTATCATATATTGTTGCAACACGATCTACCATATCCAACACCAACAGATACCAATGTGAATTATGGTAGTTTATTGTGACCATGATCTGCAACAAATTTCACACCCAATTTGACAAAATTCAACATTCTATATCCGAAAACATCATTTGCAATTGGTATGGTGTCTTACCTTCTCACAGTCGGTGAATTTCACATAGTTATTCAGTATGGGACCCCAGAAGGTAGCAATACCCTCAACACTTTCTTTGTTGTTGGCATCTAACGCCTGCTGCTGCAATTACGCAACAAACATTATTAATTTACCGTCTATAACACTACTTATCTCTATTTATTAATTTAACTCACCGCTAAGTGGTATGGAAGGTAGCCAATTCTCCGGAGTGATTTCTGAGAATCGTAGCATACTGTCCAGGCGAGCAAATCAATAACCTAACAAAATTAATTACACAATCAGAACATATTCAATAAGTTTTAACAATTTCTACTTTCTACTTACCACACCGCCAACCCATTCCGTAGGCTTCAACGTTGCAACGTCGTATACACTAGCGAATTGATTTCCCATTGAGATTACAGAATATATGTATGAATCATTAGGATTAATATGTTGTCATGAAATATTTAAATATAACTCACAAAGTAATATATTTCACTTACTCCGATTCTAACTCACTATTCCATAAATAATCACAAATTGCAGCTTCGATGTCATCAATTCCGCTTGGAATATCCGCTTTTTCAACCTACAATTTTGCATACAAATTTTTGTCACAACAACATAATAAAAATCAAATTAAGTTTTCTTTTATTCAACTTACCTTCTGCTTATTCTTCTGGGGTGCAGGACATTCCGAATCCAAATCTGCTGCTATAACACTCTCCGGTGTATAAATGACATCGACTTCATTCCTCCTCATTTCTTCCATCTCTTCTTCTTCCTCCTCCCTCTTTTCTTCTTCATATTTTTTCAGTTCATCGTATTTTTTT